TTGCAATGCCCCAGATGGTATGCTGAGTTCTCCTTCCTATGGTCATAGGCTACTAGTAAACTGCTCTTGTACTCATCCACCCGGCATCTAGGGTCAGGTGTTAGCTATGCCTACAATCCTACCATAAGAAACCCTCCCTTCCCAACAGAGTAAAGAGGAGGTGATGGAAACTGCCATGCCCTTATCTGGAGCATATCTTGGGGTATTAGTTCTGGGTCCAGTTCTTAGTACTCCCAAGCTGCTCTACTCCATCAAAGTCTCTTTGCTTCTCTGCTGCCCTTCTGGGTGGTCATGGAGCACTGTCTCCATACCTTCCCACCCCATTTCTTCACACTCAGCACGTCACCAGCTCTGGCGATACCAACCACACATACAGAAGCAACTTCTCTGAGATCAGTAAGCAACAACTGAGTACCGTGATTTCTCCAGCAGCATCGATGTTATCCAAATCCTCCCTACCACCATGAGAGCCATCCACAGGGATTCTGAAGTAAAGGAGTATTTGCTATAGAAACTCAACGGTCTGTCATAAAGATGCCACGTAATTATAACCCTCTTAAAAATCTGCTTCTAGCCATGTGGTGGCGGTGCATGCCTTTAATTACAACACTCAGGAGGCAGAGGCAGGCAGATCTCCAAGTTTGAGGCCAGCCTGGTCTACAGAGGGAGTTCCAGGATGGCCAGAGCTACATAGAGAAACCCTGTTTCAAACAAAAACAAACAACCAAAAAAATTAAATAAATAAAATCTGCTTCTCTAAATGAGCAGCCACTCGATTTCTCTGTCCTCTCACAAGACGCCAGAAAACTTAAGTACGCTCATATATTGTTAACATGTCAGTCCACATCTAACCTTCAGTTTTTACAGTGGGCTCTGTTGGACTTCATGAGAGAAAGGACAGTGCTGCCCCTTGGAACTGAAGAGGATTGCTCCGACATCTGAGACTATAGATATTGCATCTGTAACTTCATGACCAAGTAACCAATGCATCTGAAGATTAGGAAATTATGTTTACTTAGCTTAGAAAATGTAGGCACTAACTTCAGATCAGGGAAAGCTCAAGTCTAAAAGCAGAAGATAAAGGCACGTGGGGAGAGATGTTAAACTTGCCCAATGCAGATAAACTTCTGCAGGCTGTTATTGGAAATTCCACGTCAAAGGGCTGTCTCAGCAGTTAGGGGCACTTGTCGCTCTTTCGGAAGATCCAGGTTCAGTTTTCAGCACCCACAGGGTGGCTCACAACCATCCTTAACTCCAGTCCCAAGGGATCTGATGACTTCTTCTGACCCCAGCAGGCAGTAAGCACACATGTGGAGCACATACAATCACACAGGCAAAATACTCATATGAATAACATAAAGTAAATCTTTGTTTTGTTTTGTTTTTCGAGACAGGGTTTCTCGGTGTAACAGCACTGACTATCCTGGAACTTGCACTGTAGACCAGGCTGGCCTCAAACTCACAGAGATCTACCTGCCTTTGCCTCCTGAGTGCTAAAACTAAAGGCGTGTGTCACCACCACTTGGCAAAATAAAATAAATCTTAAAAAAAGGGATTTTTTTTTAATTAGGAAAAATATTCCTAAATCATGTTAGAGGTTAAAGGCTAAATAGATTAAGGGGAAGAGAAAATATAAATAACTGTCAGAGGATTCAAATGTCACTGATAAAGGAGTGAGAGCTGGAGGAGGAGACGCTCTATAGAAAGCTCTCTGCTCCAAAGGCAAAGTCATCAAAAGATACCATACCGTTAGACAAATCACAAATGAAGAATGGCAGGGGGCCGTGGTGGCGCACGCCTTTAATCCCAGCACTTGGGAGGCAGAGCCAGGCAGATCTCTGTGAGTTCGAGGCCAGCCTGGACTACAGAGTGAGTTCCAGGAAAGGTGCAAAGCTACACAAAGAAGCCCTGTCTGGAAAAACCAAAAAAAAAAAAAAAAAAATGGCAAAATGGCTTAACAGCTATACGTGATGTTTCTCTTTAGCCATCAAATAAATACAAGTTGAAGTGAGATTAGGGCACTGTTTTCATCTATCCTGCCGGTACTGGGTAGACTGTCGGTCTTGCAAGGCTGGTCTTGTAAGAAAGTATCTCATTCCTACCCCCTGGACACTCAGATATCCTAACCTAAGGCATCTGTAGCAGTCATGCTGAGAAGCCGGGAGGGAGCAGGACTCCTTCCGGACTAGCAGCATTCAGTTTCCAGGAGCCTCCAGGACCGAGCTGCCAGCCTGGTGTCTGGTGTCATATCCGATGTCCAGGCTCGGTGCCAGCCCTGGCTGCCTCTCCGGTGGCAGTAACAAAGGAGTCCTGGCTGGATTGGATCCTCAGGGAGGCTTTGGCCGGGGCTCCAGCTGCACAAACCTCCCCACCTTCCTAACCACTTTCAAAGCCTGAGGCCCCAGTTTTCCTGAAAAGTCTGTGGGCTGCCCAACACCTTGCAATAAATTCCTGTGGTGGTTTGTCTTGCTTGACTGAGAGCCTAGCAATTTCAGCTCGTGACTCCCATCGACATAAAAAAAAAAAACTGGAAATGTACATACTTGAGTTAAAGGATGTTCTAAGCCCTCTTGAGAGCGACAAGATCATGGAAGTTATGTAAATCTTCTATCACAGAGAGCTGATTAAATGAATTCTAACAAGGAATATTAAATAGCAATTAAAAATCATGTTCTACAAAAAACAAACAAAAACTATGTTTTGGGCTGGGGGTGTTGTTCAATGGGAAATGGACATGTGATGGGCCTCAGGATCCACCTCCGTTGCTGCAAAATAAATAAGTAAATAAAACAATATTTTTAAAGACATGGAGACATTGAAGATGTTCATAGTACACTAAATTTTAAAATGTTCACTGAACATTCAATTTTCTAGAGAGCACGGCATCACTTGCTTATGTTATCCCAGTTCTTGGGGGCAGATACAGGAGAACGGCCAGTCAGAGGCCTGCCTACACAGTTAGTTCCGGTCCAGTGAGGCTACGTAGTACGACCCTCTCTCAAAAAATGTGGGAGAGGTAGTAGAGAGATGGCTTAATGGCTAAGAGCACATACTGTTCTAGCAGAGGATCCCAGCTCTCACAGTGAGCAGCTCACCACAGACTATGTGGTGGTTTGAATGAGGAATGTCTCCAAGAGGCTCAGGTATTTCAACAGTTGGTCCCCAGTTGGTGAAACTATTTTTAAGAGTTCTGGAACCTTCAGGACATGTGGCCTTACTAGATAGAGCAAGCACATCCACGTGGGCTGGCTTTGAGGATTCGTAGCCTTGTCTCGCTTTCAATCCCTTCTTTCTGTGTTTCTGGTTAAAGATGTGATCTCTCAGGCTTCCTGTTCCTGCCGCCATGCCTGTCACTTGCTATCATGTCTCCCTGCCATGCCTCTTATCCTTCTGGAACTGTAAAACAAAATAAACTCTTTCTTCCTATAGATTGCTTTTGGTCACAATGTGTTATCACAGTCACAGGAAAGTAACTCGTACAGCCTGTAACTCCAGCTCCAAGGGGTCCAGTGCCCTCTTCTGGCCTCCCTGGCACCTGCATTCGTGCGTGCGCACACAGTTACACACACGTACATAATTAAAAATAAAAACTCTTTTTTCTAAAGAGGAAGGAAAAAAACGAGGATTCATGTTGTACAGCGAGCTGCAACAATATATTATAGAGATTCAGCTGTATATAATAAGCTATATCTTGACTGACCAAGGTAGCCTTCAAAAGGAAGCCATTTATCAAGGAATAGTTAGTGTTATTTAGCTTATTAATATATATCAGCTGTATTCTGATATGAAATTCTTGTTTTGTTTTGTTTTTGTTTTTTTGAGGCAGGGTTTCTCTGTGTAGCTTTGCGCCTTTCCTAGAACTCACTCTGTAGCCCAGGCTGGTCTCAAACTCACAAAGATCCACCTGTCTCTGCCTCCAGAGTGCTGGGATTAAAGGCGTGCGCCACCACTACCCGGCCAGATTTTTTGTTTGGTTTTGGTTTTGGTTTTGATATGAAATTCTTGAGTGCCCATATACTACTAGGCCATATTGGCAAACAGCTAAGCTTCTCAGACCTACTGCTGATCCACTAGGTAACTAACACCCCTGCAGGGCCTAGGAGACAGGCAGGCTGTAGATGCATAGCTTTGTTTCTTGTGCAAATGAAGCTCAGACCATCCCTTACCTTCAGGCCTAGTAGCATCTCAGAGCTATTGACTCAGGACAATAGGACTTTCTGCATAACCAGGTGCAGTAAGGACTGGAGCGGAATTCCAGAGGAGGCAGAGCTGCATGGCCAGAGAGAAGAGATCAAGGAGAATTTCTGTAGATGGTGAGCAAAGTTGCATGGCCAGGAGAGGAAGGACAAGGCAGTTTTGATAGGTGGTAAGCAGAGCCACATGGCTGGAGAGAAGAGAAGGCAGACTTCCTCAGAGCCAGGGGTAAGGCGCAAGGAAGGAAAGATGGAGGGTGAGGATGGAGTGTCAGGATGGAACTGAAGCTGTATATCTTAGGGAAATAAAGCAAATGGACAAAAGATCATGGTGTACACAGATTCTTTTCCCTGAGATAGCCCCATGCCTGACATAGTGTCTTCCCTAGGACTCTGGGAGGAATCTTCTCAGCATAGGCCTCTGGGAAAATTCTGTTAATGTTGTTACAAATAATTAAAGTGTTCTTTTCTCTTGGGTGTGGAACACAAAATCCTGGAAGTTCTTTCTTTGTGTATGTCTTCCACCTATTGCAAATACATATTTTATTACCTATATCTACAAATAAAAAGCTATATTAGAAAAACGTATTGACCTGAAACCATCAAGTGAAGCAGTTGGCCTCTGGCTGAGTTGTATGCTTGCTTTGTGCAGTTTGGTGACAGATCTTCTGTTGGTTATTTAGCGGCGCTCTTACCCTGCGAGAAAACGAGAAAACGTCACGAAACATGACAGAATCCACTAACAAGGGTTTTATTAAAGATTAGGGAGAGAAACAGACGTGCACAGGCCTGCAGAAAGACACGTGAGTAAAGATGGAGTTGGGAAACATGGCGCCGGCTTATAAAGGCTGGGCCGCGCCTGCGCACACAGGCCCATGTGGCTATTCCACTCATGCGCGTAGATCACATGGTTGCCCTGCACGCTTTACACAACCACACAAAGCCACGGGGTCCTGGTCACACGAGATGTTTTGACCCGGAAATGGCTAGGCGGAGGTGACTCGGTCCACTGGGCATTCGCCACCATGCCCAACAGTGGGATTGTGTTGTGAATCCATATCCTCTTCAACCAGCAGAGGCAAGAGGAAGACTGGTAGGTTTCTGAAGCGCCCCGATAACCCATGTGATGAATTGGCTCACGGCTACCCAAACGTAAAGCTGTCTCCATAATCTTTTTATCTTGGGAAATGTAGTTTCTGTTGGTCTGTTTAAGTAGCCTGGAGTTCATTTTTCTACCTACAGCTGGAGGTTTTGAACTGTGGAAGATCAGTGATGAACTGAAGGAGAGACACACAGAGAAGATGGGGACTCGAATTCTTCAGCACCTGAGGGACACAAACACACCATCCTTCTCACCTGGGCACATCTCTGCCTTAGTTGATGGGGCTGAGGAGCCCTCCTGTCAGAGTACAGTGCCGTAGCTGATGAAGCTCTTGGACTTGCCCATGTATCCTTCTTAGGCTCACTTTCCTGAGGAGAAAATTAAGCCTAGAGGACCAAAACGATTTGGGGGAACATCTTGTGTTTACTGCTCACAGCTACCCTATTTCCAGGTAGAAACAGGTCTGCTGTTCTTTTGACTATTTCTGGAGCTTGAGGAGCTTGAACCTTGGGGCCAGACAAACCTGTGATAATTGTGATGTTGGGAAAGAGCGGTACTGTGAGGTGTTTTATCATTTTATCATTCACTTTCTGTATTACCCATTGCTGGTGGATAGACACAATTGACTTTTGTGTGTTGGTCTTCTATTCTATGGCTGTCATGAACTCATTGACTAGTTCTGGTTGGTGTGTGTGTGTGTGTGTGTGTCTACTTTGAATTAAGTTTTACTTCTTCCTTTCTGTTGGAAACAGGACCATAAGAGCCATTTAGAGTATTTAGACACTATGGTATTGGTATGACTATCCAGTAGGAGTTGAGCAGAACATGGCTGACGCCAGACGTCCTCAGGCTTATGAGTCAACACAAAATGGCTGACACTGGATGCCTGGGAATCCCGAAAGACAATAGTGATGTAATCTGTTCTGTAACTATTCCTGGCAGAATGCCACTTCTGTGTGGGCTCAGTATTAATGTGGCTGTGAGCTCAGAGGCCTAAGTCCTTTTCTCCTGTTTTGACCAATTTACCCGTGTATTTCTGCCCGTGTATCTGTGTGCCTGCATCCATGTGGCCTGCGTGCCAATCTGTGTCTGTGTCTGTTCCTGCCTATGTGCGGCCCAGGTGGGCCTGTGTGTGCACTGTGCGTGAGTGCTTGCCTGCAGCAGCCTGTCCCCGTGGCTATAGCTCAAACTGAAGAATTAAATAAAGTATATCTCATCTGACCTCAAATCCTTGTCATCTTCAACCTCCTGGCCCCCTGTGACCTTCCCTCTTCCTGGTACCTCACATCTATCAGTCTGGATGCTTTTGTTTCTTTTCCTTTCATATTTGCCTTGACTAAAAGCTCTAGTATGGTGTCTAGAAGTGGCAATGATTGATAGTCTTATCTTTTTTTTTTTTTTTTTTTTTTTTTTTTTGGTTTTTCGAGACAGGGTTTCTCTGTGTAGCTTTGCGCCTTTCCTGGAGCTCACTTGGTAGCCCAGGCTGGCCTCGAACTCACAGAGATCCGCCTGCCTCTGCCTCCCGAGTGCTGGGATTAAAGGCGTGTGCCACCACCGCCCGGCCTGATAGTCTTATCTTATTCTGAACCCTAGGGGGAAAGGATTCAGGCTTCTGGTGTGTGTGTGTGTGTGTGTGTGTGTTGTTCTGTGTTACAATATTTGTTTGTTTGGTTTGTTTTATTTTTTTCCTTATCTTATTTTTAGGATTATAAAATATAGTTACATTGCTTCCCCTTCCCTTTCCTCCCTCCAAACCTTGTCATATACCCCCCATCCTTGCTCTCTTTCAAACTTATGACCTTTTTTTAAAAAAATTGATACATATATATATATATATATATATATATATATATATATATATATTCCTAAGTATACCTTACTCAGTGTGTATAATGTTACTTGTGTGTGTGTTTTCAGAGCTGATTACTTGGTGATGGATAACCAGCTGGTGTGCTCTTCCCTAGAGAAGACTGTTTCTCCCACTCACAGCATTTCTTGGTTGTCTGTAGTTCCTTGTGGAGGGCTGAAGCCTGGTGGGCTTTCCCTTGTCCACTTTGGCGTGCCTATTGGTGCTGTCCTTGTGCGGCGCGTATTTAGGCAGGCATGTTGGTGAGAATTTGTGGGTGTAGACACAGTCTCACAGCAGACTCTCTGACCTCTGACAGTCTTTCTGGCCCGTCTTTCACAATGTTCGCTGAGCCTCGGGAGCAGCAGTGATCTGTAAACGTGAGCTCCACAGCTCTGCGGCTTGATTGGTTGTGGTTTTCTGCGATGGTCTCTGTCTGTGGCAAAGAGATGTTTCCTTGATGATCATGGGGGAGGACTACACTTCTCTGTGGGTATAAGGACAAATGTTCAGATTGTTGTTGGAGGGGGGTGTCTCCTGACCATGAGCTTCCTACCTCAGCCTCCCAAGTGCTAGGATTGCAGGTGCCATCCTGCCCAGTAGGATTCAGTAGGTGAAGTTCAAATAATCGTGGCAGTTGTGAGAGTTTTGAAGATACCCTTTGGCAGGTGTAAGAAATTCCCCTTTGTCCCTAATTTGTTAGTGCTTGTATCATAAAAAGCATGGGGACTTTGCCAGATGCTTTTAGTGTGTACCTACAATCATGATAACATGGCCAGACATGGTGGCCTGTGCCTTTAATCCCAGCACTAAAGAGGCAGAGGTGGGCAGATAAATCTCTGTGAGTTCCAAGCCAGCCTGGTCTACATAGCTAATTCCAGAACAGTCAGGGTTACATACAACTCTGTCTTAAAAATAAAATAACATGATTTATTTAGGTCCTCTATCCCATTAACAATGGTATACTAGATTAGCTAATTTCAAGATGATTTGTAACATCCCTACAAGAAATTCTAAATGATTGTGACTATAATCTTTTATTTACTTTTTTTTTTCCTGGGTTTTTCGAGACAGGGTTTCTCTGTGTAGCCCTGGCTGTTCTGAAGCTCACTCTGTAGACCAGGCTGGCCTCAAACTCAGAGATCCTGTACCACCACTGTCTGGCATGTTAATATTTTCAATAACTAACTTTTGGTTTTTAATTTTTTTCTCTTATGTTCTTATTTCATTTATTCCTCTTTCTCTCTCTTTTTTTTTTTTATTATATTCTCTCTTCTGGACTTGATTACCTCATTATTTAGCTTTCTAGGGCTACTGGCTGAAGATTTTTCTTTTTTAAAATAATCACTTGATATCTATAATTTTCTCTCCAAATTCTACTTATACATAAGATTTGAGAGCTAGGCCTGGTGGCACATGCCAGTAATCCCAAACCTTGGAAGACTGAAGAAGAGGTCCATGAGTTTCAGGCCAGCCTAGAATACATACTGAGATCTTTTTTTTTTTTGTTTTTCGAGACAGGGTTTCTATGTGTAGCTTTGCGCCTTTCCTGGAACTCGCTTTGGAGACCAGGCTGGCCTCGAACTCACAGAGATCCGCCTGCCTCTGCCTCCCGAGTGCTGGGATTAAAGGCGTGCGCCACCACCTCCCGGCGTTTCATACTGAGATCTTGTCCCAACAAACAACAGCATTTATAATTCCAGCACTCATGGGGTGGAGAAAGGAGAATCAAAAGTTCATTCTCAGCTACACAGGAAGTCTGAAGGCAGCCAAGCCTGATCCACATGAGACCCTGCCTAAAACAAGCATGATAATGTATGGCTATGATATACTATGGTATTTTTTGTTTGTTTCTTTCCAAAAAACCCAAAGGCACTTTCTAATTTCTCTTTTGATTTATTACTCAAACTTTTCACTCTAAGCACATGTTTAATTTTCACAGATCTGAGAGTTTTCTATATTCCTTTCATTGTTGGCATTTAATGTTATCCCTTTGTGGCGAAAGAGCATCCTTTATATAGCACCAACCCTTTTAAATCTTTATTTAAAAAAATTTTAAATTAGATTTGTTTATTTTATTGTATGTGTGTTTTTTCTGCATATGTATTTGTGTGTCAGGTACACGCTCTATGGTGGTCCAAAGGAGCACCAGATTCCTTGGAACTGGAGTTAGGGATGGTTGTGAACCAACAGATATGGGTGCTAGGAACTGAACCTGGATCCTGTGTAAAAGTTACAAGTGCTCTTACCCTCTGAGCCACCTCTCAAGGCCCTTCAAACTAGACTCAACTTGTACTTCTCTGAGATGGATATTGGACACTTCATATACTTCTTGGACAGTTGCTTTTCCTGCTTGGAGAACTGATGGTTCAATTCGTCGGTTCATTAAGTGATTACATGAGTCACGGAGAGTTTAGTTTCTGTAATTCTCTTACATTTTAGGTATTTGTCCCCTGTGGGATGTGGAATTGGTGAAGATTTTCTCCTATTTCACGGACTGTCTCTTCAAGCTGCTGAGGGTCTTCTGGAGCCAGGCTCAGTGGGTTCAAGAGCACTTGCTTCCCAAGCCTGGCAGCCTGAGCGGACTTTGCTTTCCCCCAATACCATGTAAAAAGCCAGACATGCTTGTCTGCATCTGTAATTCCAGCCCTCCAGCTGCAAGGTGGGAGGCGGACCCAGGAGAATTGGACAGATGCACACACGCCTCCTCTCTCTCAAATCTCTTTTTTTGGGGGGAGGGGGGCGGGGATGTTGAGACAAGGTTTCTCTGTGTATCTCTGGCTCTCCTGGAACTAACTCTAGACTGGCCTCGGATTCAGAGATGCCTGTGCCTCCCGAGTGCTGAGATTAAAGGTGTTTGCCACGACCACATTGCTAGGAAAGCTTTTTAACGCCATACAACCACATTTGTCACTGTGCTATTGGAGTCTTTTCAAAAAGACCTTGCCTGTTCCTATATCCTTCTCCTTTTTTAAAAAAAAAAAAAAAAAGATTTTAAAACTTTATTTTATGTGTCCGAGTGTTTTGCCCTGCATGTATATTTGTGCACTGTATGTTGGGTGCCTGCAGAGGTCAAAAGAGGACATCAGAGTTCCTGGAACTGGAGTTATAGGTAGGTGGTTGAGAGCCACCATGTGGGAGGTGTGAACGGAACTCTGGCCCTCAACAGCTGTTATGGGAATCTTTCTGGACACCAACAGCAAGAGTAGAAGAGAGCAGATGTCACTGGTGGACCAAAGTCAAGATAACTCCTAAGAGTCCAGTTGTATTCTCATTTTATACTCTAAACCCACAAGTGGGCAAGCAAATGAGATTTTACAGAAACATACGTGGCCTTAAGCAGATTGTTTTTTTTTTTTTTTTTTTTGGTTTTTCGAGACAGGGTTTCTCTGTGTAGCTTTGCGCCTTTCCTGGAGCTCACTTGGTAGCCCAGGCTGGCCTCGAACTCACAGAGATCCGCCTGGCTCTGCCTCCCGAGTGCTGGGATTAAAGGCGTGCGCCACCAACGCCGGCTTAAGCAGATTGTTAAGGGCAATGACCCATGCTTGGCAAATAGGCAATACAAGCAATGCTTTAAATAAATCACTAGTCGGGCGGTGGTGGTG